ATCAGTGTTGTCATATTTGCAGTTGAAGCAGAATCAGTTTGTATCTTCACTGTTGGACTCAAAGAAGAAATCCATGTGAGCTTCAGTTCTCAGTTTTCATGGATAAATGATTTAAATATATAAACATTTACAAAATGCAGTCAAAAACAATCTAAGATGACGCGTCCTTGTCCGTCCTCGTCTCGCGCTGAGTGGGATCAGATGTTTGTGATCGTTTGTGTCTGAGAGGAAGTCGTGCAGCAACGCGACACAAACACGTTATTTTCCTCTGATGCAAATCAGAAATCAATGAAAGCCTGAACTGCTTTCAATGACGCTCACTAAATGGGATCGACCGCTCACATCTGAGCCCACGGTCCCTGAACGCAGCACAAGACATTAAACATTATAACTACAGTCTGTCATCATCTGTCCATCATCTGTCCATCATCTGTCCATCATCTGTCCAACATCTGTCCATCATCTGTCCATCATCTGTCCATCATCTGTCCATCATCTGTCCAACATCTGTCCAACATCTGTCCAACATCTGTCCATCATCTGTCCACCATCTGTCCAACATCTGTCCATCATCTGTCCATCATCTGTCCAACAACTGTCCATCATCTGTCCATCATCTGTCCATCATCTGTCCACCATCTGTCCATCATCTGTCCACCATCTGTCCACCATCTGTCCAGCATCTGTCCACCATCTGTCCATCATCTGTCCATCATCTGTCCATCATCTGTCCACCATCTGTCCATCATCTGTCCACCATCTGTCCAACATCTGTCCATCATCTGTCCATCATCTGTCCACCATCTGTCCACCATCTGTCCACCATCTGTCCAACATCTGTCCATCATCTGTCCATCATCTGTCCAACATCTGTCCAACATCTGTCCATCATCTGTCCACCATCTGTCCATCATCTGTCCACCATCTGTCCACCATCTGTCCATCATCTGTCCATCATCTGTCCACCATCTGTCCATCATCTGTCCAACATCTGTCCATCATCTGTCCACCATCTGTCCACCATCTGTCCATCATCTGTCCATCATCTGTCCATCATCTGTCCACCATCTGTCCATCATCTGTCCATCATCTGTCCATCATCTGTCCATCATCTGTCCACCATCTGTCCACCATCTGTCCATCATCTGTCCAACATCTGTCCATCATCTGTCCATCATCTGTCCAACATCTGTCCAACATCTGTCCATCATCTGTCCACCATCTGTCCATCATCTGTCCACCATCTGTCCACCATCTGTCCATCATCTGTCCATCATCTGTCCACCATCTGTCCATCATCTGTCCATCATCTGTCCATCATCTGTCCACCATCAAAGTAAATCTCTTTAAACACTTTGAGATGGTCCTTCTTGTCCTGCAGAGAGTGTTTAATGTTTTTATCCTCTAACAGGAAAGTGTGTGATCGGATCATCTTACCGACACACTTAGACTCTGAAACTCAAGCTGTGTGTGTGTGTGTGTGTGTGTGTGTGTGTGTGTATAACATGATTGTGTGCAATAATCAGATGTTGTGCTGGATGTGTTAAAGCTGTTAGAGGGAAGAACGGAGATAAGAGATTTATCATATTTAAGAATCTTTTCTATCCTGTGTGTGTGTGAGTGTGTGTGTGAGTGTGTGTGTGTGTGTGTGTGTGTGACCATGGTTTGAACCTAAACTTTTTTCATCTCTTTAATTGAAAGTTTACCGGACAGACACACGAAACTTCATTGTTTATCTAAATATGTTTAACATAATGGAGTACAGGACACACATACACAAGCGCGCACACACACACACACACACACACACACACACACACACACACACACACACACACACACACACACACTCACATAATGACCTGTTAGATCGCTCCCTTTTTTCTCAGTATTGATCGCTGTATTGATTCTCTGCAGGCGGCTGATCGTCTCCGTTCAGAAACATACTCCACTTACTGTGGATTACCACCCACCCACCCACCCACCCACCCACACACACACACACACACACACACACACACACACACACACACACACACACACACACACACACACACACACACACACACACACACACACACACACACACACTGGTCAGACAGGGGAGGAAAAAGGAAGTGAAGAAGGGGAGACCAGCAAGTATTCAGCCTTAACTGCACTAAAAGTAAAAACGCACACTGTAGAAATAGTTAACAGACTGTAACGTCTGCAGCAGGTAAACAGGCTGTAACGGCTGCAGGTAAACAGACTGTAACGTCTGCAGCAGGTAAACAGACTGTAACATCTGCAGCAGGGATACAGGCTGTAACGGCTGCAGGTAAACAGACTGTAACGTCTGCAGGTAAACAGACTGTAACGTCTGCAGGTAAACAGACTGTAACGTCTGCAGGTAAACAGACTGTAACGTCTGCAGCAGGTAAACAGACTGTAACATCTGCAGGTAAACAGACTGTAACGTCTGCAGCAGGTAAACAGACTGTAACATCTGCAGCGGGTAAAC